CCAGGAGACACACCGTCCAGGTACCCCGGTCCGTCAGAGAAGACGTCGTACGCGTCGAGGAGGCAGAAACTACCACCTGAGAAATCTATTAAGGAATTACTCGCGTGACGGACAGTTTGACCCGTTATCCTTGGAAGCAACCAACACGCGTCCAACAAATTCAGCAGAACATTCCGCTAGATCCGCTCCGTGCGTTGTAACTAATATAACAACTCTTAGAAATCATCGCGTCACTATTAGACCCGGGTGGAAACTAATAAAAATCACTAAGCCAAAAGTGGTGTATCCGGCAACGATTCCGCCATCAGACCCGCGGTTTAAGGTTTATATAGAGAAAAGACGAGAGGCATTGTATTCGAAAAAGGGAGTTAATAATAAATAACTTTACTATTTTTGGGAATACTTGAGTTTGTGATTCTTTTGGTAACTAACTTTGGAAATACGTCGGTAATAAAACAGCGGTCGGTAATTCAAGAAACTGTCGGTAACCACACGGCAGTCGGTAACTGTTGGTAACCACAATCAGTAACAGTCAGGAATAAAATACCAATCGGTAATAATCAGTCCAGTTATCTTCCCGACCAAAATCCTCATTCTCCGCCCCGGTAAAGCCAGTACGGCTGACCATAAAGGGAGAACGTACGTTCGACAAGAGTAAACGGTTTCGTCGAACCGTGACCTTGAATACTTGGACGTAACAAGGGCGCCGTCCAAGCCAAAATGGACAACGTCCTTTAAGAAAACGGTCGCTTGCAGGGCGAGGTTAACGCCCTGCACGGCAAACTCCGCAACTTGAGGCGAGATCTCATGTCTTTAAAGAAAGAGCGGTTATAGGGGGCGAGAAGCCGTAAGAAACGGTCTTCCGGCCGCCGGTCCCCGCTTTCTCCTGCTCCATCCCCGCGGGTGGTTACCTCGCCACCGGGACCTTCCGTGCCGCCGGAGCCGGAGGGCTCCTGGGCGGCGACTCCTCTTTTTCCGGTGGAGGAAAGACAAAGCAAGGGGAGCGCTCGGTATCGCCTGTGGCGTACCGGACGCCCACTCATCCGCCCACAAATACACTACCAAGCCCCAAGTCTTTCAGGGAGGTGGAAGGCCGCATCATGGACGCGATGCGCTCTTAATTGTTCATTTTTTGGGAGCAAATGTCCCAGCGGCTCTCTCGCCCGTCCCTGAGGGCAGGAGGAAGGGAAGTCTCACCTCCCCTTCCTCTGGGCAAGAAAACAGCGCCCAGCGGCGCAACCGCGAAGAGCGGCGCCGGCACTCCGGCCATAGCCGGCCCTTCGCGTAAAGCCCCTCTTCTTTCTTCTTCCTCCGCAAAGGGGAAGAAAAATAAAAATAAAAAAAAAACAAAAGGCGGAGAGGGAGACATGCAGGTCTAGCCGGCGGTGCCACCACAGGCCGCCCGCCGCGTGGACCCGGCCCCACCAAGCCAATCCACGCCGGAGTCTCTGCGGCCGAGCCTAGGATCTTTTGGTTTCAGGTGGTCGGCCGCAAACACAAGAAAAAGGAGGCGCAAGTTGCAGCCTCCACCTCAAAAAGTGCGGAAGGGAGACCCGTTGGTCCCAGGGGCTGTTAGGCCCGGGCAACGCGCCACCCGCCCTAAAGTCGGGAAATCTCCCCGCTTTGCGGCCATCACGATAACCGCCAACGCCCAAAGTGCAGACGTGGCAGCGGCGGTAGCCTGGATGCGGCGCAGGATTAAGTTGTCGGACCTTGGAATTTCCGAAGTCCGGCCTAAGAGAGCCGTCACCGGGGTTCTTATAATGGAGATCCCCGATGAAGGCAACGAGACCAGGGCAGACCGGCTACACAAAGCCATGTCCGCATTGGCCGGAGAACTGGGGGTGACGGTCACAAGGCCCGTGAAGATTTGTGAGTTGCGAGTCAGGGGCCTCGATGATTCTATCACTCCCGAGGAAATTGAGCAGCCTGTGGTGGCTGTTGGAGGTTGTCGGCCGACCGATATAAAGGTCGGCCGAGCTCGCGCTTTACTCAAGGAGCTATCTACAGCGTGGGTCCGGTGTTTGGTCGCCGCAGGGCGCAAGATCACGGACGCCGGATCACTCAGGGTAGGGTGGATCAAGGCCCCGGTTGAGGTACTTGAGCGACGGCCCCTACAGTGCTACCGCTGCCTTCGGCGCGGGCACGTCATAGCGACGTGCACGTACACCGCTCCGGGAGAGAGCAGAAGGGGCCGGTGCTACCGGTGCGGAGAGAGAGGCCACGGCGTCGCGACTTGCGACGCGGCCCCTCGGTTCCCGCTGTGCGCCGATCTTGGCCGGCCCGCGGCCCACCAACGTGGCGGCAAAGCTTGCGCACCGATCCCCCGAGGGGGAGCCCAGAGGGTGCAAAGAGCCGCCAGGGGTGGCGGGAACAAGTCTGCTACCCCACAGACAGGTGCAATTGCCGGCACCGTAACACCCGCGCCGGCAACATAGGGGGGGACCACCCAGCCCTCTACAAGTAATGCTCTAGAAGAAGTGATGGAGGTGGAGACGCCACCCGTTTTACAAAAACAGTGAACACCCCACTCCTCCTCTAATGCAACCTGAATTACTCCCGGGGTGCGCAAGATCTCATGATCTAGTACCTTGCGGAGTGGGACGGGATTCTGGCAGTGGCAGCCGAACCGTACAACGTCCTCTGGAGAGGAGCAACGGACACCTCGTCGTACAGTGGGAGGAATTGATCGGGGAATACTTCTCGCTATCGAGGCCCTTCCTCGAATGTCAAAGGTACGTGGGCAAGCTCGAGCTAGCCGTGAAACGACACTCGGCTCGCCAGGTGTTGGTCCTGGGAGACTTCAATGCCAAGTCGCAGACTTGGAGATCCCCAGGACTGACGGCAGAGAAAGGGTCTTAGAAAACACCTGCTGCCTGCGAACTCACGGTTGTCAACGTGGGCTCGCAACACACGTGCGTCAGGCACAATGGGGGTTTAATTGTTGATGTGACGTTTGCGTCGACTCCCCTCGCCGCGCATGGGGTGTCCGAATGACGCGTCAGGGATGACACGGAGACCCTCAGTGATCACCGGTATATCACAATGAGGGTCGAAGTGCTCCCTGCCCGCCTTCGGGGTTGCCGGGCGGGAAGGAGGCCCCGGCCCAGAGGGTGGGTCCTGCAGGAACTAGACTCAAAGTCCGGTGCTGTTCAGATCGCGGCCTGGACTGAACCACCGGCCGGATCGCGTGATCTCCAAGAAGAACTTCGGTGGTTTCAGGGAGCGCTAGAGAGTATCTGCAATACTGCAATGCCGCGCTCCCGGGAGGTCGGTGTACTAGTGGACGGAGGAAATCGCAGGTCTGCGAACCGAATGCCTCTGTTGCAACCCCTGGTATACCCATGTCCGTCGTCGTTTTCCCGGCAACAACGAGGCGGTTAGGTCAGCGAAGATGGCGTGAGAGAATTACCGCGCAGCGTGCGAGGCCGTCCAAGTTGCCATCTCCACGGCAAAGTCCAAAGCGTGCACAGAGCTCGTCGAGACTCTAGACTCTGATCCGTGGAATCGCCCGTATAGGGTCGTAATAGAAAAGTTGCGGCCTTGGACGCCCCCAAAAACGGAGAGTCTGGACCCCCATCTCTTAGAGAGGGTCGTGTCAACGCTCCAGGAAAGGGCGAGTGGCCCTCTCTGGAGCCTTCGGCGGACCAGCCAGTGGAATGGTCTCGGAAGACAAGCTCCGCCGGACCGTTCGTCGGATACCGCGTAAGAATATTGTGCCAGGCCCCAACGGCGTGCCCGGAAAAGTGTTGGGCTTCACCTTCGGACAGGGTCCCCTGGGTGATCGTCTCAGGCAGATATTTACAGATTGCCTGAGACAAAGCTGGTTCCCCTTAATCTGGAAAAAAGCCAACCTCGTGCTCCTCCGCAAAGGTGGCAGGCCCGCGGACTCACCGTCCGCGTACCGGCCGATCTGTTTGCTCGATGAGGCAGGCAAGCTCTTAGAGCAAATTGTTACCGCACGCCTCATTGAGCATCTGTCGCGGGTAGGTCCCGACCTGGCCGCTGCCAGTATGGCTTCCGTGAGGGACGATCAACGGTCGATGTCGTCTTTCGACTCAAGTCCCTCACGGAGACGTCAGTCAGGCAGGGGGGAAGGACGTTGGCGGTGTCACTGGACATCTCCAACGCCATTAACTCCTTCCCCTGAAACAATATAGGGTGGGCCCTAGGACGTCACTGGGTCCCACCCTACCTAAGTAGGATCCTCGGGGACTACTTTCGGTAGGAAGATCAAGTACACGGGCCGGTATAAATCACCACTGAGTAGGGAGATGTACCGCAAGGTTCCGCAGAGGTCTGTCTTGGGCCCCCTGTTGTGGGATCTCGGGTACATTGTAGTGATTCAGGCCGCGTTGCCCAGAGGCCTGGGTGCCATCTGTTATGCAAATGACACTCTTGTTGTGGCCTCTGATGCAACTTGGGAGGAAGCACAAGGTATGACCGAAGTAGGCACTAATTGTGTTGTCGGCCGAATTGAGAAGCTGGGTCTCAAGGTGGCTGTCCACAAGACGAAAGCTATGTGGTTCCATAGCCCCTGTTGTGGACGGCCCAGAAATGCCAGCCTCCGCGTAGGTGAGGCTAGGGTCGAGGTGGGTACGACCATTAAGTACCTTGGATTGTACCTTGACCCGAGATGGCGCTTTGGCGAGCACTTTGCTAGCCTGGCTCCCCAAGTACGCACCGTGGCTAACTTCTTGGCCCGGTTGCTGCCAAACCTCGGGGGACCGCGGCAGATGGTCCGCCGTCTCTATGTGAACGTTGTTCACTCGGTGGTCCTTTACAGGCACCGTTGTGGGCGAAAGCCGCAGCGAGGGCGGGGGCGCTGAGCGCGTTTGCTCAACTCCGCGCCGCCCAGAAAGTCATCGCCTTCCGCGCCATATGCAGCATTCGCACAGTGTGTTGGCGGGAGTACCTCCATTAGCCCTCCTGACAAAAATGTACTCGACAAGATATGCTTGCCGAGTCGAGCTGCTACAGGAAAGCGTTGCAGATAACATCTTGCAGGAAACTTTTGCCAGTGCAAAGCGCCAGGCCAGACAACACCTGCTCCTCGATTGGGAGCACTTGGACGAATCGCGCGCGGCCATCCAAGAAGTCGTCGTGGTGGTTCGACCCTATCTCGAGGTGTGGCTAGAGAACGTAGTTGGCCACTTCACCTACAGGGTAACTCAGGTGCTCACCGGGCATGGATGCTTCGGGGAATACCTGAGTCGCATAAAAAGGAGCCGACGACAGTGTCACCAGAGTGGCGCGGCCAGCGACTCGGTGGAGCACACCGTGAAGGAGTGCCCACGGTGGGCAAAAGACCGCCGAGCGCTGGTCGACGCGATTGGACCGGACTTGTCCCTGGAGGGCCTAATGCAAGTATTGGCCTCCGGAGACAAAGACCGGCGAGAGGCAGTGATCTCTTTCTGCTCCATTGTGATGTAGCAGAAGGAGGAAGAAGAACGGGAGCGAGAGAAGGCACCCGTCCTTCGGCGGGGACCTCGGGGGCGCGTGCGGGCAGGTTGCAGAATTATATGCGCTCCCCGCGCGCGTCCTCGGGATCTGGGGTCCCAATAACAGTAGTTGCCTCCTCTCTTCTCCCTGGGGGAAATAGGAAGAGAGCCGGGGCGGCGGGCGTTGGTGGGAGCCGGCTCTCACTGTTAATCCGTCGCTCCCGCGGGACATCTCGGAACGAGAATAAACGAGGCGGTGGCTTAACTTCCGGAGTGATACCGTCCACTCCGACTTGTGCCCATCGGAACGACTCTGGCCACCGCGGGGGCCGTGAGGATAAGGATCCTGATCTGTCCTGCACGCGGCCCCACGTGAAGGGGCAGCGGAGCGGTGGGTGTCCCGCTCCGCCGCCAAGGGAGCAATACAAAAGGGAGGAGCGCTAGCACCTCCTCTCCAAGAGGTCAAGCCCGAGGGAAAAACCAAGGGGCAAGAAGACACCCCGTGAGGTTTTAGTGGGTACACCTTCCACTCCTGACCATCAGACCAGGTAGGGGAGAGATTCCCACATAACTCTGGCCCTCACCCCCGAGGGACAGGATATATTAAAATCGATATCTACACAAATCGCGTTTGAGTACCTACTTTGAGACTTTTATCTAAACAATATAACACAACACGTTGTTTAAAGTACATTCCGTTCAAACATATAATTATTTTACCTAAAATTATTCTTGTCTACGTTTTTAGTCGTTGAACGATACAAGCTACAAAAAGTTCACGTACTTACAAATATTAGATGTTCGAACAAAATAAAGAGTCACTAACTTGTGATGTGTCCCATTCTTTAAATATAAAATTTCCAATTAAAAGCAAAAACAAATTGTTACTTTACACTAAGCTTTACCTTCGCGAACCTGAAAGTAGCTCCTACGTGCTGTATACAACAACCTATTATATGTTATATCTCTGTAATAAGTTTTGCATATTATAAAAGCATTTTATTCTCTGCATCTAAATGCATCACCAAATAACAAATGTTTTACCGCATAAATCGATTGAGCACCTAATTTTTTTAACCACGTTTACTCTTGTACGCTCGAGCGCGTCCAGCGACTAAGTCCCGTCATACGCTAACTTTGCGACCGCGTAACTCCGGTATCGTTCGA